CAAGCACAACCACAACCACAACAACAGCAACCAACGACAACAACAACAGCAACAACAGCAACAACAGCAACAACAACAACAGCAGCAGCAACAACAACAACCACGACCAACAACAACATCATCAACAACAACAGCAACAGCAACAGCAACAGCAACAACAACAACAACCAGGACGACGACCACGACGACATCAAGGAAACTCCGATGAACCCTCCACAGGGATCCTGCGCGTCGAAGCGCTGGCGCTGTGGTGCGGTGCAAATTTTCTACGTCCCCGATGAACCCTCCACAGGGATCCTGCGCGTCGAAGCGCTGGCGCTGTGGTGCGGTGCAAATTTTCTACGTCCCCGATGAACCCTCCGCAAGGATCCTGTGCGTCGAAGCGCTGGCGCTGTGGTGCGGTGCAAGTTTTTTACGTCCCCGATAAACCTTCCACAGGGATCCTGCGTGTCAAAGCGCTGGCGCTGTGGTGCGGCGCAAATTCTTTACGTCCCCGATGAACCCTCTACAGGGATCCTGCGTGTCCAACCTTAAAAAAAGGGTTGGCCGCACCTCGGAAAAAAAAGGGTTGGCCGCACCTCGGAAAAAAAAACACCCCCGCCAGCGGGATAGAAGTTAAAAGAAAATTAAATAAGGATCAAAAAAATTAAATAAGGATCAAAAAAATTAAATAAGGATCAAAAAAAATTAAACAAGTATCCGCGAAAGGAAGGGGAAAAAGGAACGAAAGACAGAGAGAGAGAGAGAGAGAAGGAAAGAAAGAAAGAACGAAAGAAAGAAAGGAAGGAAGAAAGAAAGCAAGGAAGAAAGAAAGAACGAAAGAAAGAACGAAATAAAGAAATAAAGAAACAACGAAAGAAAGAAAGCCATGCAAGAAACAGAGAAATAAGTAAATAAAGAAAGCTATAAGTAAAGAAAGAAAACAAAAATAGAGAACTAAGTAAAGAAAGAAAGCTACAAGGAAAGAAAAAAGAAACCACAAGGAAAGAACCAAAGAGAGTTGACAACTTAGAGAAAAACCAAGGAATCCGTAGGAAAATCGTGTTTTCCCCAAGAAAAACCAAGCAAATCCTTAGGAAACGAAAGAAAATCCCTAGGAAAGCAGTGTTTTCCCTTGGAAAAATTCAAGAATTGCTGTATCTAAAAAGCAAGAAAGAAAGACAGAAAGAAAGAAAAAACGAGAGAGAGAACGAAAGAACGAAAGCAAAAACAAGAGGAAGAACGAAAGCAAGAACTAAAGAAAGAAACTTAAGGAAATACAACGGAATCCGTAGGAAAATCGTGTTTTCCCGAACCAAAAACCAAGCAAATCCTCAGGAAATGAAAACGAATCCGTATGAAAACAGTGTTTCCCCTGGGAAAAATTCAAAAATTGCTGTATCTAAAGAGGACGAAAACAAGGAAAACAGAAAGAAAGAAAGATAGAACGAGAGAGAGAACGAAAGAACGAAAGCAAAACGAAAGAAAGAACGAAAGCAAGAACGAAAGAAAGAACGAACCAAAGAAAGAACGAAATAAATCAAACCAGAAAGGAAAGCAAGAAAGAAAGGAAGGGAGTATGAGATGAACAAAGAAAGAACAACAGAAAGAAAGAAAAGAAATGAACGAGAGAAAAAAAGAAAGAAGTCCAGAATAAAAAAGCAAAGTTGGAAAATACGAAAGAGAAAGAATATGAATAAATCACAGAAACAAAGATACAAGCAACAGGATACTACATAGCCCAATCGAATTTACCATAATATCGTAATGTACCGTAACATAATATAACATAATGTAAATGTAACCTATAAAATATACTACATATTATGTTGTAAATATACACACTGTACTGTACTACACTATAAACTAAGATGTTGTTTTGTTCTATGTCATCTTTTGTTATATTGTATTGTTGTATTTTTAGTATGCTATTATATGCTATAAGAAGCAAGGTTCTGTGATGTCAGAAAATGTCACACCATTTTTGTGTTGTCGAACCATCTTATGTCGTTCTTCTGGTTTACTATGTTATATATATTAGGTTAGAATGCTAACGGAAGAAGAGACACGAGCAGGCACGGAACCACAAGACACCCGCCGCCGCGCTTTTCGAGACGTGCAAGCTTGATTCAAAGAGTGTTTTCGAAGCCCATCATGTGAACGTTGTCTCTGCAAATGGGGGGGGCTGCGCCCCAACCCCCCCGCTGTTTTAAGCCGTGCAGGGTTGCTTTGATTCATATGCCTTTGTTTGAAACCCAGCAAATGAGGGCATTAGGGGTACCTTATTTTGGGCGCCTCGCAATAAGGATCCTACTATTTTATGGGTACTATGAGGGTCCCCTATTTTCGACAACTATTACTATTACTTTTACTCTTCCTATTGCGATTGCTATTGCTATATTACTATTGCTATCGCTTTTGCTATTGCTATTGCTATTACTATTACTATTGCTCTTGCTGTTGCTATTGCTGTTGCTGTTGTTATTGCTGATTGCTACTACTTTTACTCTCACTGCTACTATTACTCTTACTCTTACTCTTACTATGCTGTTGCTATTGCCATTACTACGACTACTACTATTACTACTACTACTACTACTACTACTACTACTACTACTACTACTACTACTACTACTACTACTAGTGCTACTACTACTACTACTACTGCTACTACTACTACTACTACTGCTACTGCTAGTACTACCACTACTACTACTACTACTACTACTACTACTACTACTACTACTACTGCTGCTGCTACTGCTACTGCGACTGCTACTGCGACTGGTGCTACAACTACAACTACTACTACTACTACTTCTACTACTAGGGGTCTTGTTGGGTTTAGAGCTAGGCGGCATTTGAGGTTTTCGGATGTAGGACTTGTTCTGTGGGTCTAGAGTGGGCGCGGAAAATGTTTGGGTTTGGGGTTCAGGGTTTAGGGTATGGGGTGTAGGGTTTAGTGCAAAGAGTTTAGGGTTTAAATTTAGGGTTTCGGCTTAGGGTGCTGACAGGGGCAGCAATAGCAACATGAGAAGCAAACGTAGGAGCAATCCATGGTATCAGAACTGAGCACGCAGCACCATACACAGGTTCGATTTCAAAGCCCTGAGTTTAAAACCCAATCCCAACGCCCCAAACCCTCAGCTGTAAATCTGCAGGCTCAGAAAGGAACCCCCACGATCTTCGGTGCCATGCAAGGCAATGCAACACGGCCAAGCAAACCACAAAAAAAAAATGCCCCCCCCCCCCCAAAAAAATAATCCAAACTAATTCCAGACCCTATACCTTATACCTTATGAAGACGAGCTCCCTAAACCCTCAACCCGTATAGTTTCCCTTATATACCTTATGAAGAGGAGCTCCGGCAATTCCAGGGAGAACTGGCGGGCGTTCTGTCGTTGGCCGGCGAGGTGGCGGCAGAGCGAAAGGCCGAAATAGTTTGAACAACCCGCTTTCGGGTGGCTTTAGGGGTTTAGGGTTTGGGGGTTTAGGGTTTAGGAGGTGTAGGGCTTTAGCGTTTCAGATGGCTTCAGGGCTACATTGCAGATGCCTCGGCAGGCAAGCCAACAGTCGACGGAAGTTCCTCTGGAGGTTCGCAGGGAGTCTAGAGTTTAGGGTTTAGCAGGGAGGAGGGGGACTTGAAATTGGGTGTCCCTTATTTGGGGCCCTTATGTAAAAGTAAGGATTATTCAGGGTCAAGCAATGTTGGTCCGTCATGTTCTCCGATGCCTTGGTGCAGCCGGGTGTGCATCTCCAAAATCCTAAACCTAGCCCTGCAGCTTAACTAGTTGTTGGTGTTAAGGGTTTGAGTTTAAGGTTTGGGGTTCAGGGTTTGGGGTTGTATTTCTGTGAGTTGTTAGAGTCCGGTCCAAAGTTGCCCTAGCGTGTTGGACGCCGCCTGAGCTTGAAGCTTGAACCCATCACGAAGCCCAACTTGGAACAAGGAAGTGTTATAGCAGGGAACCCCCCCCATAATAGTAGCCCTATAGTACATAGTATTTCATCGGTATGTAACGGTATGTATTCCTTGCAGCAAGAACCATCGCCATCATGCCATAGGAAAGAGATAGTCATAGTGTTCTGATTGCCTCACCCCGAATGGGTGGTTGTCAAAATTATGGCCCCTTTTTGGGTACCCTAAATAGTAGTTGCCGTATTATAACAAGGACCCAAAAAGGGACCCTAATATTGACAACCGCCCGAATGGAGGAGCTGTTGCAACTTCGAAAAGAGATGGCGAGGATGAAAGGGTTCCTGCTCGAGGTCTGCGAGGTGCGTGGGCTGCAGAGCCAAGATAGGATGCTTCCCGAAGCGGATTTGCTTGGGGGCTTCAGGTTCGGGTAGCAGTTTGCAGTTTGTGTGATGTCTGTGCAGTGGCAGTCGCAACCACTTCGTCTTTCATTCAATATTTGCACAATCTTGAGTCTTCCGTAACATTTGCAGGGTCCCTAAACCCTAAACCCTAAACCCTAAACCCTAAACCGTGGTGGTGCTGGTGGTGCTGGCGGTGGTCGTGGTGGCGCTGTCGGGTTGTGGTTGTCGTGGCGTGGTCGTGGAGGTCCTGTTAGTGGTAGTGCTGTGCCAGTGCCAGTGCCGGTGGTAGTGGTAGTGGTAGTGGTAGTGGTAGTGGTAGTGGTAGTGGTAGTGGTAGTGGTAGTAGTCGTAGTAGCAGTCGTTGCCGATTCCATGCCTAGAGTCCCTTGCCCTAAGTCCGCAGCATAAGTCTAAGCCATCTACAGGTGGGTAGTTTTAAGGTGGGCAGTCTCCCATAAGCCTTCCATACCACTCCTATAAGGTAAAGGGGTCTTATGGGAGTACTATGGAAGAGGAACTACCCACCTGAAATGGGCTTCTAATAAGAAAGCCATAAAGCCATGCAGACGAAATCCTGAATCACGGTCAGTTGGGGCTTCATCCCAGAAGGCCTGCATCTGCTGGAACAGTATACAACAGTGGCTGATTTCCATGAGGACGTAGACACCAACAGTTGCCTTTAAGCCATCTGCCGCGTTTGCCAG